CGTTGTAACAATAATAGATACAGAGGCAGAGCTGCCTCAAACAGATTGTCAAACTGCAGCTGCAAGGCCGGGGAGGGTTGGGGGGCTGGAAGTTGGGGGGTAAGAGGTCAACCAAAGGACTTATATGCATGCATATAAGCATAACCAATGGACATAAGACACTGGGGGATAGGGGAAGCTAGGGGACTGTCCAGGGCAGGGGGGGAAATGGACACATATGTAATACCCTGTGTAATACTTTAAGCAATAAAAAAAAAGAATAAGGAGTGTGTTGTAAAAGTTATATTCTTTGGTTTTAAAAATGAGAAAAATTGTGTGGATCCAAAACTTTACCAATTTTATCCATTTTTAAATAAATTACAGATATTCAAACCACTAAAAATAAAATTTATTTATAAAACAAAAGAAATAAAGGGTATATGATCAAGACAGGGATAAAGGGAAAGGATTATAAATCTTCGTGGTCGGAAAAAAGGGAGAGGCAAGTTAGGGAGGAGATGGTGGGTGCATTAAATGCAGCATTTCATGACGTTAGACCAAGCAGAGCTGGCCACTGGAGGCTTGTCTTTGACCTCGACATCCTTCTTTATGCTCCAAAAGGCACTCTTTCGTTGTTCCGTCGCTAAATGGTCATCCCGGATAACCAAGGGAGGAAGGATAAAAACACAGAAAACAGCAAGTAAATGAACTGAATAATGGACAAATGACGCTACATTCGCCATATGTACTTGGGAAGTCAGAATCCAGTCCAGCCCGGGAGAGACGGCAACATTCCCCCCAGCACAACCAGCATCAGGGCCCGGTGAACCCTTTCTGCTCGGACTCCAGTCAAGTGTTGGAGTGGCAGCTGTAACCAGGGCTCCACGTAGCACGAGAGGAGCATTCTGTACTGCTCAAGGAGTCCATGTCTTAGACTGCTTTTCCATTTCCATGGGTTACATTATTAAGCAGGGTGTTTATTGATGTAGGGGGCAGCTTTCCTTACTCATCCGCTTTTTGTCCAATGTGCTTTTTATTGATTTTAGAGAGGAAGGGAGAGGGGGAGATAGAAACATCAATGATGAATCATTCATTGGCTGCCTCCTGCATGCCCCCTACTGGGGATTGAGCCTGCAACCTGGGCATGTGCCCTTGACCAGAATCGAACCTAAGACCCTTCAGTCCGCAGGCCAACACTCTGTCCACTGAGCCAAACAGGCTTGGGCAGCATTTTTATTTTTATTATTTTGTTAATCCTCATCTGAGGATATTGTTCCACTGATTTTTAGAGAGTAGAAGGGAGAGGGAGAGACATAGAGAGAGCAGCATTGATGTGATAGAGACACACTGATTGGCTGCCTCCCCCACAGGGCCAGGAATCAAGCCTGCAACTAAGGCACACGCCCTTGACTGGAATCGAACCCGGGACCCTTGAGTCCGCAGGCTGATGCTCTACCCGCTGAGCCAAACTGGCTAGAGCCCACCAGCTCTCTTCAAAATGCAGTAGCCGTGTCCTCTTCATCACACCCTGGCAGCCAAACCCAGGGGAAGCTGCTAGGAATAAGTGTCCCCCACCTCCATCCTCAGAACACAACGGCCAGCCCCCTCTCAGGCTGCCCGAAGCCTTGCATCCTCGTTAAGGGAATTAAAATGTGTATGGGCCAGAGAGAACCCATAGGCTGCCAGTCTGTGACTTCAGAGGTAGATCACAGACTTCCTGAGATAGAAGAACAAATGCACACCTGATACTTTGAACTTAGTTAAGATCAGGGCAGCTCATGCCAGGAACTTAATGCAGAGAATAGCCACTAGAGACTGTGCCTGCCTAGCAGGGTCCTGAAAATGGGATGCTTGATGGGACAAGCCAGCCCAGTCCCCTAGTTTGGGGAGCAGGGATAAGCAGATGGAGAGGGGGTTCACTGGTAGAATCTGTTGCAGCACTCCGTTAAGAATCCTGGGAGTCTAGTGTAGAGAAGTGGCTGCACTGACCAGAATTTGTACTTGACAAAGAGTTCAATAAAGTCAAGAGGAGATTTAAGATATTCCTGAAAAGGCCAACTGGATCTTAAGATTTCCAACAGAGAAATAAAGAATGCCACAAGGCCTACTCCTATTAGCAAAACTCACGAAAATTCTAGTGTGTGCCTCACTTTTTACAGTAATGGAGCTGAAGACTGCCCATAAAATTAGGTATATATTTCGGGAGAAACAGTCTGAGATAAATGGGAAAACTGAAACAAACTATAGAGAAAGTTGTATTAAGACCTAGTCTGTAAATAAATAAATGAATAAACGAACTAGTCTGTCAATCACAGTAAGAGGGAAGGGCAGCACTGCTGAAGATGGACCAAATTCAAACAGTTTTTTCACAACAAGAAGCATCAATCTGTGTTATTTAAATTAAATGTCAAAGGACTGATTAGCATTTTCCTAATCATTTTAGCTTGAATCCTTTTTCTCCACAACTATGAAAAAGCTACTCTTAAAAGGAAAATGACAGCTTGACAGAGGAGAAATGTGGTGGATACCAAGGGATGCAAATTAAAGATACCAACAATGAACCAAGAGATATCACTTGCTCCCTGATGTGGAATCTGGAGGACACATCACTTATGGAGCATCCCTGCATCTAATCATGAAGAAGCAGACAAGCCCAAACTGAAAGACATTCTACAAAACTTGCCTGTTCTCTTTAAAAATGGCAAGGTCATGAAAGACAAAGAATGGCTGAGGACTAAAGAGACATGACAACTAAACCTAACACACTGATCTGGGATTTGGGGACAGGGAAGACCAATCTGAAGAACATTACAATTGCTAAAATGTAAACATGAATCCCTCAATAGATTAGATTGTCTCAAAGCTACATTTCCTGAGTGTGACAATTAAACACACAAAAAAGTGATTTTTTTTAAAGCAAATGTTCTTAGGAGATATATGCTGAAGTATTTAGGGGCATGATATCTGTAACTTATTCTCAAATAGTAAGCAAAAAATTTGTATATAGAAAGTATAGTTAAGCAAATATGGTAACATGTTATTAATCTGAGAATCTAGGTAAAGGATACATAAGAGTTTACTATACTATGCCTGTAATTTTTTCTGTAGGTCTGACTTTTTTCCATAAAAAATATTAAAAAAAGTTACTCTTACCACAGATTTGGTGTCCGTGCTATGGGATAACTTGCAGTGTTCCACAAGTCCTTCTTGATCGAAGTTCTTCTCGGGACAGTAAGGGCAAGGAAAGGTATAACGGTTTGGGACATTCCTGGAAGATGAAAGGCAGGGAAAAAGAAAAACACCTCTCTGAGGACATTTCCATGCAACTTCAGCCACTTTACCTTGAAAAAGGAGCAAAATTCACTGAACGTTTTATGACAGGGATTGTGATAATTACTTCAGAGTCAGGTCAAATGTTCTGAAAATAACATCAGCACAGCTAATATTTGAAGTGAACATCAGAGAGTGCTTCTCCACACCACCCCCCATACAAAAACTTGCATCAGCTTTAGCCAGCATAACTATTATACTTTCACTTTCTAGAACTCATACAATGCAACCCCGAACATGCAAAGTCTCCAGTGTGACAAACACACAAAAAAGATGACCTCGACCTAAGGGAGTGATGTGAGTCATTTACCTTGGCTGAAGGGACACATCCTTGGTGGTGGCCTTCACACCTTCCATGATGTAATTCTGGTATTTGGAACAGGTAGCCACGTGGGCCCGGATCTTAGATAGGAAGAACTGGGACAGGAAGAATCAGAGTTGCCACAAGTTAGTCAGAACCCTGTACCAGGCCCAACATTATCCCAAACAAGGGCAAGATGAAAACTACACCTATTCCACCCTGGCAAACATCTCACCAGTCTCCTGGCTGTGCTGATGGGGCTGAACCCCTGTTTGTTGCAGAGTTCCTGTTAAGACCAAGATTAGTGTTTTATTTGACCAAATCAGGACATTTGCTTCCACTCTTCACTAACTCTCCTAGAGGTCTGCTTTATTCACCACATGCTCTCTGCTTATAGACACACTCCAAACCAAGTGAAGTTTTTAAAGTTTTCTATATTCTAATTTAAATTCATCTCCTTACAGCAAGCCAAGAACTACATTCTATTTTGTGCAGCAAAGAAAACTGACCATGTAAGTAAAAGGGATAAAGGCTAGTAATTCTAGCTGAAGTACAAATCAACAGATTACGGTAAATGATCTTTACAAAAAACCCTAAATCTGAATTATATTTCTTCTATAAAACCTAGTGGTTTTATAGAAAAGAAAACCTAAAGAGTGCTTCATGACAGGTGTTCTGAAAAGAAAAAAAAGATGTGTAAGGAATGATGAAAGAGGGGAGATACGGGGTCAAAAAAAATATTTTTAGAGGTATACCACAATATTATCACTAATCTTTAAAATGGGGGAAATAAAAAGCATACAGAAAAATCCCCCCAAGCCCCATTATGCTTGCATGATTTTCATTTCTGGATTTTTTAAATTAAAGGAAACTACAAGAAAAAAAAGCTTCAATATTTGAGTTCTGATTTACCATGATGCTTCTGTCTTATCACCCGCTAAAGTACTTGACTTCAAGCTAGCAACCACAGCTCCCAATGAAAAGGAATGGGAAGTAGCCTCATTCAGAACTGTACCCACTGTGTACCCCTCGTGCTAAAGGCATATGCATTCTATGGCTATTTAACTAAGGTGTTAGAGTAATGACATTAACGTGAAAGAATGTCCAACAGTCCTTTGGTGAAAAATTGTTTTAAATGTGAAAAAAAGTTGTCGAAATATATATTACAGTATGATCCTATTTTGTAAAAATCCTACATCTGTGTTTTTCGAAGGGTAGAAAATATTTTTCAGTCTTCTAAACTGAACCACTTTAAAGAGGTAATTTATGGAGTGGGAACAAGCCTACATTATTTTATACTAGTGGCCTGGTGCACGGATTCATTCACGTTGAAAGGAAATTAACTAGAATATTTTAATATCGCTATTCACCCTTTCTCTATAATAGAAGTGTCAACCAAATTCACGATCAACAATGACAGAAAACACATGCATGCGATTGGCACCAGTTTGAGCTTTATACGTATTGCGCATGCTCGAGTCAACTTAGCCTTTTATAGATATAGAATAGAATAAATTAAACAAGTAATTAGACCTGCTTTCTGATTTAGCTAACCTATTTCCAACCCAGTGAAACACCCCAACTTCTCTTTCAGGTTACTGTCAACAACACAGCATTAAATATCAACACAAAGCAGGTTATTATTATAGATTACGCAGGGAGAAGAAAGGGTAAAATATTTAACTGCAGCAGTGTTTGACTATATTCTGCGCAATGAGAAAACCTGAAGTCATTTTCAAGGTACACTATTTCTTACTTCTTTTCAGTCGGGTCAAGTTTCTAAGCTTTCTAAATCTCCGTTTTCCAGCTAATGAAAAGAAAATAGGATTCCACCTATTCTCCTATCTACCTACTCCAGGACTTCTGTACGGATCAAATGAGATGAGGCACAGGAAAACGCTTCACAGACATTTGGTTAAAGTGTGAAACGTTTGCACCTGGCTATAAAGCAAGCCGTGTTCCTGGGTTGAAGAAACTGCAAGGAGGCTAGTCATTGCTATGTGACGTCATTACCCAGCACCTCCACAGTGACCATTTCTGGGCTGGGCTGGGCTACTGGTCGCATTTTGCGCCATGGGGTCTTGGTAGCAGTGTCAGCAGCAATTTGGTGAGCAGTCGCTCTGGGGTGGTGGTGGGGCCTGTATCCCACTTGGGGTAAGCCAAGTGTTGCTTTATGGGCGCCAGGTCCGCAGTGCCGCTTCTCTGTAAATGGCCAGTGTGCGTCATGGCAGCTCCTGCGTTGAGCATCTGCCCCCTGGTGGTCAGTGCACATCATAGCAACTGGATGGATAGTCGGACACTTAGCATATTAGCCCTTTATATAGAGAGATTTTTGTACTGTCTGGAATTAACAAAATTATAATGATTTAAAAACCAATAAGCCTGTGTATGTCTCTTGGAAAACAAGACAGTAGTATTTCTCGTTACAAGAGATGTTAAAATAAATATATCTGACTCTAATACGGTTACACAAAAAGAACATGGGTGCATTTAGATGTTAGATCTTGCTATTATAATCAAACATTTCATATTAACCTTTTCCCTGCCAGGTACTAAAAACTGATTTTTATATCTGTAATTATATACATTTTTAATTGATTTTTAGAGAGAGAAAGGGACAGAGAGAAAGCGAAACATCGATGTGAGAGATAAACATCCCCTGGCTGCCACCCACATGTGCCCTAACTGAGGATCAAACCCACAACCTGGGTATGTGCCCTTACTGGGAAAAGAACCCACCACCTTTTGGTATACGGGACGACTCTCCAACTGAGCCACACTGACCAGTGCTGATATAGATTTTTAAATTTCCTCTCAAATTAAAGCAGAAAACTTTTTTGAGTCACTGACTTTATTTTATATTAAAAGACATTAAGAAATATCCTTCTGTCATATTTTAATTAATACTGGGCATAATGCTTTGGAAAAATGAGTCATTTATAGGGAAAATCTGGAATAATTGATTTCTATGATTTTCAGAGCTAAAATATGTAATTACTAAGCCCATTCTTAAAACAAAAAAACCCAAAAACCCACTAAGGTTACCAAAATGAAACAGCACAGCAGGTGCCACAGATAACCAGCAAGCACATGTGCTATTAGTCATCCATCATGCTCTACCTTCAGAAACTACATGGCAACAGCTCTACGTTTTACCCCATCTCATCACAGAAAGACCAACTCTTCCGTTTTCCTTCCACATACATTTTTACGGCAGCCATGGCAAGAAGTCTCTGTGCTCTCAATCTGCCGCTCGAGCTCCACGGCTCGTTCGCCAGGCGCCAGAGGGCTGCGACATACCCCACAGACAGGCTTCTTCGGCTTCAGACATTCCTGCAGGCATGCAGAGCAAAAGCTAGAACAAGACATACAGAGAACCTGAGTCATGCATTGTGAAGACAAGACAACAAAATGGATAAACTTTTAAAAGACATCAATGAATAATGAAAAACAACTGATTCAAATACCAAGCCCCCCTGCCATGGGCAGTGTGCTCAGTCGTTAGAGCGTTGGCCTGCGCACCAAGGGGTCTTGGGTTCGAATCCTGCTCAAGAGCATGTACCTGGGTTGCAGGTTCGCCCCTGCCCTCTCTGGGGCTCAGGCAAGAGGCAACCAGTTGTGTCTCTCTCACATCGATGTTCCTGTCTCCCCCACCCTTCGCTCTCTCTGAAAAGCAATGGAAAAAATACCCTCAGGTGAGGATTAACAAAAATCAAACAAAAAACCCTGCGTTTCCCTATGCCAGAAAAATGAGAGTGGGGGGATGGGTCCTGCAAAGAACACACAGGTCCAGCAACAGAAACAAATGCAAACTACTGTGATACAGGGCAAAAGGTGTCACAGCACACTGAGGGGTTTCCTGAATCTCGGTTTTCCTCTGTGAAATGGAGACAGTAGTACTCAGCTCTAGGAATGTTGGGAGACCTTAGTACAGTATCTAGCACATTTGAAATGCACCACAAACAGGAGCTGCTCTCATTAGAGGTGAATGCAAAGCACTATGGGAACACAAATACAAGAGCAACTAGTTGTGACCTAAGGACAGGGCTGGGAAGACTTCAGAGGCAGCATCTACAAAAAGAGCCTTAAAAGAAAGTTTAGCTGGCAGAACAAGAGGATATCACAGATCCTTAGACTTAAAAACTCATGATGCAGCTAGGGAAATAAAAGCCTAACATTTTCCTCATAAGCAGATGTTTAAAGCAAAGTATCAACAAGACTAAATTCACGTTTTAGAAAAATAACTCTGGGACTATCACAGAAAATAGAGTTGTTGGTTTTAAATATTCTTTTAAACATTTTATTTTTAAGCATGTATCTTTATTGATTTCAGAGAGGAAGGGAGGGGTGGGGGGAGAGAGAGATAGAAACATCGATGAGAGAGAATCATTGATCAGCTGCCTCCTGCACACCCCACACTGGGGATGGAGCCCGCAACCGGGCAAGTGCCCTGACCAGGAATCAAATCGTAACCTCCTGGTCATAGATTGACGCTCAATCACTGAGCCCAAGTTTCTATCCTGAAGTCTGGACAGGTGGTGATGCTGAGATCAAGTATACAGAAAGAATGGATAATAAGGCATGAAAATAGCCCAGCTACATACCCAAACTAGTTTAAGGCAGAATGTATAATCAAAGGTAACCTGCACATCTGACAACTTTTTTTACTGTTTCTAAGAATTTTCTTCCCCTTTGTCACTAAGTTAGATGTTATTCTGCTAGGCAAAATTCTAGACCAGGCTGGGAGAAGGTGAGGGGTCTAGTGATTCACCACTGAAGGCACAATGTTGAACGAAACTAAGTCCCGATCCTCATAATTGCTGTGTTCCAGAGCGGAGAAAAACACAAATATTAGGTTCAGATAATGATTAAATGCACGAAGGAAATAAAACAAAGCAATGAGATCAGCTGGGGTGGATCACAGAAAGCTTCATTAAGAAGGTAACATTTGAACTGAGGCCTAAATTTATGAGGAGGCACACAGACCTGGATGCAGAGTTCCATACAAAGATGACACCAAATGCAGAGGGGTGTCCGAAAAACAGAAAGACCTCTGGGGCCATGATAAATGCCCGCTAAGAAAATAGCCTGCTTTCAGTTTCCATTTCCTACATCTGGCCTTTTTCTAGTTCAGCCTTTCAGACGCTCCACCCTTTCTGTTGCAGTGCTATGTACGAAGTCCTTTCTCCTGGGCACCCAGCCACCTGTATTCTACTAGATTGAAGCAGGACAGTCATTTAGAGGTTGAAATAAAAGTTTTATAAAACTCTAATGCTACACCCAGCCAGAGCTACAGTGATGCTGAAGTTTCCAAGTACAAAAGTTATCAAAAACCAACTAGGCGGAGTAAAAGAGCACTTGGCTGGCCCTAAGGGAGGCTCAGAGAGGTGCATCCGTTTTCAATCAACTCTGATCGGATGAACATGTAGAAGTAGTATGGCGCGTATAGAAGAGTCAAGGTTCGAACCCCAGTGCGGTCCCCTGACTTCTGACCCAGAAAAGGTTCATCTGGATCAAGGAAATCTCAAGGGCTGTTGCTCTTCGGTTGGTAAATTCTGCTAAGTCAAGCTTCTTTATTCATCCATCACCCCCACCCCCAACCCCTCCCACCCTCAGTTTGATTCCTGTAATACCCTCCCATTGCACAGTGAATTTTCACAATAGCCTGAACATTTGCTGGTACTTATTTATTCGCCAGATTGTGAACTCTGAGGGCAGAATCACCTTAATTCTTACTCTGCCCCAAGCATCTGGCATACAAATATTTTGGTCTGTTGAACCTAAGACTGGAAGATGGATGCTCACTGTGCTGGGCACCGGGGATATAAACGGGGCAGAAAAAAAATGGTCACTGCCCTCATGACCTTAAATTTTGCTCGGTGCAAGAAACTGGGAGCCAATTAAATGGGGATGGTGACATTGGGACTTGAAGTCTGAAAAGGATCTGGGGTGGTGGGGACGGGGGTGCAGATGGGACAGGAGTTTCAGGCAAAATGAGCTGCAACGACAACAGCCCAAAGCTAGAAAGAGCTTGACGCCTCGAAGGAGCAAAAAGCCGTCAGCGCGCCTGGGGAGCCCTTCCCCAGCGGGGTGCCTGCATAAATAATGCCCGCGAGGCCCAGCAAGTGCCCACTGACCAGTAAAGGGGTCCCAAGGCCAATGACCAGGTGACGGCCATGATGCACACCGAGGGAGGCCGTGCAGAAAACGCCATCCCTCAGGGGCAAGGAGGAGATGGCCACTGCTTCCAGTTTAGGTGTCTGGGTGCTGGACGGAGCAAGGCTGAGATTCAAACCCGGCCAAACCCAAAACACCTGCCGCAGCAGCCCAGGACCGGTCCCGACATCACCACACGCACCTCCGTCAGCCGCCCCCACGCCCCCCGGCAACACGCAGGCCACGGAGGCTTCGCTCCCCACAGCCCGGAACACACCTGCCCCCGAGTCGGGAGGAAGGCCGACGGCCCCTTTCACAGGGAAGGCGGACCGCTCCGACTGACAGCGTGGCTTCCCTTTTGTTCCTGCAGCCTCGCTCAGTTCCCCCAACTTCAGGGCACATGGGCATTACCGGGCAGAGCTGGGTGATGACGCCAGATGTGCTCCCCCGAGGGGCGACGCACGCACTACCCCAGGGAAACGGTGGCTCTCGCGGCCAGAGCCCCGGCCGGGTCCAG